TGTTTAGCTTTTCATGTCTGTTGGCTAATGCCTGCTCATTAGAGTCACCTGGGGCAGGAAGAGTTTACTATCTGCTGTTTTAAAGCACCCCAAACCAACTCAAGTAGAATTGTTGAACAGGTACCTTGTCATTATTATTTTTAGAAAGCCCCCCCCCCCCAGGTGATTCGAATGTGTACTTGGCATTGAGACCCAGCGCTCTGGGGCTCCGGGGGCTGTGGGTGTATGGGTTTAGTCTCGGACAGCAGACCCGAGGTCCCAGAGTAGCGGCGCCGAATTAGGGCCAAGCATCTGCTTCCCTCACCTCCACTCTCTGGAGGAAAGTGTTCCGGGCATTCCTGCTTCCAACAGCTTGGACGGATTTAATTTTTGCCTCTGAATGACTTTGAACAGGTTCTTGCACTTCCTTTTGTGAAATTTTTGCTACTCTCAGTCATTTGGACCTTAACTCTCAGTCATTTGGACCTTAAATCTTTGCCTAGTTTGTCTACAGGAGCCCCAGCACCTGTCCAGCTTCACCCTCCCCCCCGCCCCGTTCTCCAGCTGGCGCCGCAGCGTCTCCCTATGGTCCTTCCTCCACGGCTCCCAAAGCTGGAAGAGTGTGTTATCCGCAGTAGTCTACAACCTCTCATGCAACCTGCTCCCTTTGCCCTGTTCTTTCAACTAGATCATTTCCTTTGTGTCAAGCTTCAGGAATAAAGTGCCCCAGATCCTGGGTGGAAGCTATCACAGTGAAAGCATCCACAGTCTTGCGCAAAGAAGCATTTCCAGGCTGCGTCAAATGTTCACCTCTGTGTGCCCAAGGGTGAGTTCCTGTCTTCTGTGCATTTGAGCCAGTATTTGTCTACCTTATGTATTCCCGGTTCCCTAAACCAGGAACCTGGGTCCCTAATGTAAGTCAGGTTTCCAGGAGGCTGCCTAAGGAGCTTGGTGCACCTGAGGCAGGTAAATAGAGAGGCCCTCACTGTCCCTTCTTGTAAAATGAAGGTGGCAATGGGCCAGCTAATATGACTAGATTCTCATGTTGGATGTTAGCATGTTCAACCCTAGCCTGACCCAAGCTTTTCTAGACTTTTAATACTGCAAATAGACCTTCCAGCTCTGTAGAGTATCTGACTTTGAAGAAAGCACATTTTGGGAGGTCTGGACCGCATATTTCATGTTTGTCTCGGGCTGTCTCGCATCAAGGAGGGTGCGTCTCCACACAGCACACTCGGTATTTAGGTCAGTGGCAAAACGTACACAGGGTCATTAATTAATTACATATGATATTAAAGTCAGGGATGGGCCCAACCCTTTGAGTGTTTAGAAAGACTTCAAGGTGGGGATAGGCCAAGTTCTGACACGTTCAGGGCCAAGCCAGGCTGCGTGGATCACGAGGGAGCCTGAATGTGTTCTTTCAGACCACTGAGGTCTCTGCCCCTTGTCGCCCTGTGCACCGCTATGTGAGCCACCTCAAGCATGATGCGTCAGACAGCTGTCCTCACATGCCCCTGGGGATGTGGCTCCTAGTTGCTCACTCAGCCCTGTTTTATCGCTGGGGGAGGCTGCGGTGGAGGCAAAGCGAGGCTGGTGGGCGGCCTTGGAACTGGACCAGGAGCCGTGGCCCAGGGAATCCCAGGGAGAAGGCAGATGGGGTGTGGGGTGTGCTCAGACTCTGGGTGCAGGCTCCTCGTGACCCCAACTGCCACGCTTCCCTGGAGAGAGAACAGGGAGTCAGACAGTAAATTGATTTTGGGTTCTTCTCAAAGATGAATGGGTTTATTGAGGGTATGACTTATTTTTAGCACTCTTTTGCATCCTGGCTATATTCCGGTGATGTTTCGTTCATTTTGTCGAAACTGAACAGAGTTGCTTTTCATTCCCACGTTCCCCACTTTGACAAAATGGTCCTTGTCACCTCCACAGGACTTCAGTGGAGGCCTCCACTCCGGGCCTGAATGTGGCTTTTGAGGCTGGTTTCCGATGCCAGACGTGCCATAAAAGTGTGCTCTGTAAAGCCATTTCCGAGCAAGTGATCATGTGTAATTTAGATAAATCATTCTGCTTTCTTAGGACATGATTCTGAAAACGATTATTTCCACTGAATACTCTTCCTCTCAAGTGAGATTGAACTCTGCTTCCATCAGGCTCGCCTGCCCCCTCGCCGCTCTCTCCGAAGCTCCGCTCCGTGCCGCCCTGTGCGGGGGGCGCCTCGTGGCTCCCACGGCGAGTGAAGGAACAGGAGACAAGCTCTGACCTGTTTTCCATTACCCACGTCTTCATTGCTTCAAGCACCAAAGCAGGGACAGTTTGATGAGTTTCCTCTTTTCTTTAACATAAGCAATGTGTCTTCCTCAGGGACTAACGGTCTGAGTTTTCTGGGGTTTTATTCCCCCTCCCGTATAAAACAAAGAGGGTGCACTGGATGTACCCCAAGGTCCCATTTACCTCTGGTTTTGTGACCTGAGAAATGGCTGTTTAGTACAAGGGCCAGAGAAGGGTGGAGCCATCATGCACGTCATCCTGGTGACTGGTGTGTGTAGAACACAGAATTGTGGATCAGGAATCAAAGTCATTGTGTAAACCACCAGCGGGGCCGCCTGAACCATGTCGAAGCTCTGCTTAGCTGTGAGAGCCATGAATGGGGTCATGTTAATCAACTGAAGCAATGGATAACAAAGTGCTTTCAAAATAAAATCGTACAAGTTCGGGAGTTGCTCGGAAGAGAATAGCAAAGCTTCCTCAGAAATCATTTCTCAGCCTCTGCTAGTTGGCTTAAAATATACTTACACAGATATCCCCCTCCCCCATCCAATTCCAGAATTGCAATAGAATTAAAATAGCAAGACAATAGTAATTTTCTAATGGAAAAACCATGCATCTAAAATCAGCTAAAGAGAGTCACTGCTGAGAATGAAGGCTTGATGAGAGAGACGTTTTGGAAAGCTGCTCTGATGTTGTAACACCCAATTTAAGTTGGAAATAGTTATATTTAAAAAGTCTCACCACCTGTTTTCTGGCAGATTCCATGGGGGATACTCCAGGCTAGAGTCATGATGCTATAGTCCTGTCTCAAGTCGCTGTGCGCTTAGAAAAACAGCTGAATCTCTAAGGTCAAGTTCTCCCAATTATAATGTTGATTAAGAACAGATGCTCAAAGAGTTTTCACTAGTTCACTCCTAATGGGCAAGTTAAAGGTCATTTATTACAAACATCTGTGAAAGCACTTAGGTATTTCAGATCAAACTTGCCAGCATGTAGCCAAGGCACCAGATCTGGTTTTCGATATCTGAGTTGCCCTGGATCTTGTTTGTAGATAAAATCTTTTTTTTCAAAACATGTTTTTATTGATTTTTTTTTAGAGAGAGAACATGTATCAGCTGCCTCCTGCACGCCCCCTACTGGGGATGGAGCCTGCAACCCAGGCACTTGCCCTGACTGGGAATCCAACCTGGACCTCTCAGTACATGGGAAGACGCTCAATCCGCTGAGCCACACCAGCCGGGCTGTAGATAAAATTGTACATGTGTTGGGAAAAAAGATATAAAGTGCCTTTACAATGTGAAGGATCCTCTTAACACCCCCAGTTGGGCTACCATGTAAGTCTGTTTCCAAAATCAGATTTTCTAAAGTCACAGTCTCCCTGAGATGCCGTGTCCACTGAGCACATGGAGCTATTCAGAAGGTTGGTGCTAAGAGCTATCTTCACAGAGACGTAAGTATGACATTTCGGAGCTCCACCCTGTCACTGACCCAGCACTGAAGAGAAAGCCTTCAACTTCGGGGAATCCTTATAATTCCCTGGAAATTTCAAAATATCAGTGTTAAAGAATAACCAGGAATCACAAACAAGCTCAAGTTTTTTTCAAGGTCCCTTTCAATGTTTATCATTTTACTGTGAAAAACACAATACATTCCTTGTATGATGAACATGGCACTTATGCTATTCGAATATGTGTTTCCTGTTGCAGAAGAAACCATCAAGGGAAAATGCTTTCTATTGTACCATCATTAGCATACTTCCCTCTAAGAATACAATGAAATTTAAAAATTGTGAGTGGGTGATACAACGCCCACAATCTTGAATATTTCCTGATTGAACAGGGAAATGTTTGGGGAAGCTGCAGGCCTGATGGAAAAGTGTGGCAATCCTTCTTTCTTGGATTTTCTGCAGCACCTACTGTCTGAATGATCATTTTGTCTTGTGTCTTCTCATGCACACACTTCTTGTCCTTCAACTAGAAAGGGAACCTCGGAGAGGAAGCCCCCTATGGTGCTCAGCCCAGTGCCTTGTGCATAACCTGGCTGCCTGAACCATTGACTGACGTGTGCATTTGCAGGGAAGAGCCTGGAGAGATACACTTAAAACCTTTATTCATTGATTTACAAAATGTACAATATTTACAAAGTTTAGGCATCAATCTCATATTGACATGAATGCTGTGGAGAGTCTAAAATAAATAAGTGGCACATACGTTCATATACACATCGCAGCTCTTTGTACTTCAAGCTGTCACCAATGGTGGGATTTAATGGAAGGTTTAATGTGATAGAAAAGTCCGAGGGATGACCTGTCCTGGGTCTTCCACATAAACGGCCCTTCTGTGGCTCCTTGAGGCTGGGGATGGCAAGCAAATCACTTTCTTTCCAGAGAATGAAACACCAGCCATTCTGACAGGCATACAGGGTACAGCCACATCTGTCCGGAGTTGGCAGTGATGCCCTGAGTGGCAGGTGATACTCCCTGCGCCCCAGCAGGGAGGCTTTGCAGTGCTCGTCTTCTCATTAAAAACCACCATTCAGACTTTGTCTCTTATTGAAATCTCATGCAGTATTTGGAAGGCGTCCGTGGAGAGTGACCATGCACAAAATGTACTAGTAGATATGTACAACATCCACCTTTCATTGTCTTACAGCATCTTTACATGTCGGATAGACCTGTCTCTTCTTTTAGCAAGAATGAATGACGAAATCATACCTTCACCCCTCAAAAAAAAAAAAAAAAAAACAATCTGGAGACACATGCAAATGGCACCCGCAGAGGCAGGACTGGACAAACTCCGCATGGTAAGATGGCCAAGTGCCCATGAAGTCAGGCCTGCAAGTTTCCCGAGCGGTGGTAATTCTGCCTTTGCTTCCCCTCCAATCCCGCCTCATCCCATCTATCCTAAATCAGAAGGAAGAGGCTTCATGTTATTGAGTCTCTTAGAGCCTCGGCACCTTCATCTATAAAGTGTAAATACTAGTGATTTCCCTACATGGTTCTTGTAGGAAGTATATATATGGCCTAACTTATGTAAAGTGCTTAGCGTAGTGCCTGGCACATAAGAGGTGCTTAATAAATGTCTTGCTTTCTCTCCCTCTAATTCCCCACCCCAGTGATAAGCAACTTTTTGATAAGCCTGCTAAACTCTGGATTAAGGCCATTTGATGCAATTTAGATGAGTGTGTATCAGAGTTACCACTGTCAGTTCATATTTGGTCCCTGAGGAGGTCTCATTTTATGAGCCAGAGACATTTCCTGTGCAGAACAGACGGACCCTGACAACACTGTCTTCTTTATCTGCAAGGGCTTCACCACGTTCCATGCAAACGAGCCCCACAACCCGCAGAGGAAGTCATCCAGGGATGGTCACCACCCCCTTCTGGGACCACACCACTGAGGAAGCTGTGAGCAGAGCCTGGAAGCCACCACGTTACTTCTGCTCACAGCACAAGTAATTTTTTCAACACTGGTGCAAGTACTATAGATAACGTCCAACACACATATATCACAAGTTCTACCACTGTTGAAAAATAAGGATTCTGATTTGATCGTTTTGTTCAGAATAAAGAATCTTTTACAATATATTTTAGTTTCTAGTTATGCCATACAAAAATAAATATTGTATCCATGATTTACAAGGAAGAAGAAAAAAGTTGTAACTCAGGATGCCAAAAATATAGGAAGGAGGGTGAAATTTTTACTGTCTACTTAAGCTAAAGAAATCAACACTTCCCACTGAGTGTGCTCACTAGTCTCCCTGCCACCCTGGGTCCCCCTACTTCTCATCCTAGGGTATTGTGTCTTCTTTCCTTGTTAACATCCAGACAATGTACTGCAGAACCTTCCCCCTGAAGTCACTGGGGATTCGAGAGAGGAAGGACAGGGAGGGCTCTTGGGCAGCATGACTTGCTGATGGAGGAAGATCTGGCTGAGCCCCACACTGGACCCTCACAATGAGCCAGGATCAACCTCCACACGTTCAGAACTCATTTCTCTGCCTAAATTCACTATGTCTGTATAGAACCCCATGACTGCAGAAAATAACCCAGTCCTGCTGTGGGGCTCCTGGAACACCCACTGGTCCAGGCACAACGAGGTGCCCGACCTCGCCAATTATGTGAGGGATAAACATCCATTTTACAGGAGCTAGTTCCATTAAGTTAGAAAAAATCCTTTTCCAACCTCCTGCCCCCCGTCATCTCCCACACAGAGCAGAGGGAATACGACCCACTGGGAGAAGAATGTAGAAAAATGGAAGTGGACACATTGCTCACTACTTTCCTAGAGACTTAGTAGGACTCGCCGAGGAAACGATCCATTCATTTTGCAATTAAAGTTTTCAAATTCTCAAGCTATAAGTGAATCCATGATTATATTTAAACCAATAGTCCTTTAACATTCTCCTAAAAGCGCACACAACTGTTCACGTTGCCTAGCTCTCAGAGGGTCCCAGGACCTCCTGTGGTTCATGCATATCTTCCAAACTAAGAGCCCAGATCTCAATAAATGCAGGAAGATTTCTTGGAGTGAAAACAAAGGTGCGTGGTATAGAACTCGGACTATGTTAGGGGCAGGCTGGCTTGGATGAGGTCTCAGCCTTGAAATGACAACATTGAAGCAATGCTTGTTCCTCATGGGGAGTGGAAATGCTTGGCCAGGAAACATCCTCGACTGTGGTGGCTTCACCTGTGTGACTGTTGCCAGGCCAGTGACTCATGCATGACTATGGGCCGTCCAGATCCCCACGGATCCCTACTACACATCCACCTGTGAGCTGCTACAAGGTGAGTCCCAACCATACCCACAGGCAGGACACTATCACTGACACGCAGTGTGGCTGCCCATTTGTCTGATTTATGGGTGACGTCGTGGCAAATGTGGCATCAGTTTCATTTCGGGGGAGTGGCAAATTACAGATATTTCCTTCACAACAGGAAGTGCAGACCTGAAAAAAAGAAAGAGAAAAAGAAGGGTGATGAGAAGCTGGCAGTTCTCGGAAGGAGGCGGAGCTTTCTGAAGGGCTGTCTCCCTCACGACAAGACTCGGAGGCAAATGACCCGTTTGACAAATGCGACACCTGCTCTGCATGCAGGGGCTGGGTGAAAATTCATCTGGAAGCAGCGTGGCCAAAGTGAAAGCCCCCAACTGAACTCCAAGGGACATGGTTCTGCCTGTGACATCCACCTTGTGGCTACTACAGTTTCCTACATTTCCCAGGTCTTGGCTATTCCCTCTTTGAAGCGGGGATTGTTCCCCTGCCCAGTTTTCACAATGAAGCTGAAGTGGCAACAGCCCAGATAATTTCCAATGAAATATGTACTTCAATCAGAACTGTCTGCATCATCCTCGCCCATTCCCATGGGCGAGTTAAGGTTCGAAGGGTTGTCAGTTTTGCAGTTATTCCTGCTTTATACTGCTTTATTTGTGGATCATGAGACAGAAATAAACCCAAAGAATTATCGACAGAAGTCATTTTAGACCACAGCCACTCGAAGTGCAGACCAGCAGTTTCAGCATCAACTGGAGCTAATCAGACATGCAGAACCCCAAGCTTGCCCTGAACGTAGCAAATGAGAATCTGCACTTTAACAAGATGCCCAAGTGATCCAAGTACACAGTCCTGCCTGCAGACACCATGATGGGTAACGTCCTACGCAGTCATCGTCTGCACAGACTCCTGTCGGTTCACCACTGATACAGGCTAGGAAGACATCGCAAAGTCGAGGAGAGAAACTGGGGTCAGAAATGAGTTTGAATTCTGTCTCTATCACTTACTAGTGGTGCGACCTGAGCACATGGTGTCACTTCTCTAATCTATAACTTCCTCCCTGGTGAAATAGCCGCAATAATTCCCGAGAGCCAAGCCCAGCTTGCTAGGGTGTCAGGTAAAACCATTAGGCTCACCTTCACATTTCAAACCAGGAGCAAGCAGGCAGATTATACTTCAAAACGTACTTCTTAGTGTGTTTTAAAAGTCTCTTACAAGTCAGGTGTCTATAATCTTGAGAGAAAGAAGCCCCCACAAACGGGACCACTGCAGGCTGTCAGAGGGGCACCTCTCCCACCCCCCAGGAGGGCAGCATGATGGGGACAAGGGGCAAACTCCCAATTAAGGCCAAAGCCTGACATACAAGCTCATGCGTGCGGCCAGCCCTGAAGGACCAGCAAGAGGGTCCGGCGGCCCAACGTGAGCCAGGCAGCCTTCCTCTGATTCTTCATATTCTCTCAAGGGCGCCCTCAGGGTTGGTCTCACACTGGGTGCCCAGGTGCAGGCACCAGATGGGGTCTCCGAGGAGCAACCCACAAGGAGATGGTTCGCTCATCCCTTGCTGAAATAACTCAGGAGCCGATGGATACCGTCCCCAAATCAGCATCCCACAGAAGACACGCGCCCCGCTTTCGGGAAGGTTGTCAAAGCGACGCCGCCTGGATGAGTCTTTGGCTCACCCGCGGCGCTTGGCCTGCGTGAGGACAAAACTGGTCCCCTGCTCCTGTCCCTCCTGGTAGTTGTATTACTTTCTGAGTGAAGAAAGGGCTCATGATCATTTTCAATACCCTCTCGGTGTTATGTTGACATAATTTATCCTATGCTCTGGTGTAAAGCTTATTCTTTTCGAGCAAACAGGAAGGATGCAACTCCTAATACTGCAGAGACGGCCAAGCGCCAGCCTACACGGGAGCAGAAGCTGCGCGTGCGCACTGGCGGCGTCCGGAGCGGAGGACGCTGACCTTGTGGCCTTCCCGCTCCGAGTCTCTGCAGCCCGTGGACAGGCACTCTTCCAGCGGCACGCAGCGTTTGGTGACCGAGATGCTGTTTCCCGTGACTTCCATTGTGTGCTGAGTGTAGCAGTATCTGGTCTCTGTCAACAACAACAAAATACGTTTTAATTGACATAGAAAATGTTAGCCCAACCTGCCTAGAAGGGAAACAACGGGAGGGGCAACCCTGTAAGTGCTGAGAGGATGTAACAGCACGTGGGATGCACACCGTGTTGGGTTTATGTCCGACGCCAAGGGTGTCTTTGAAGATCCACTGAGCCCTGGTTGCAGGAGGGCCTTCGAAGACTGCTGGTCTCTGCCCACTGTAATCCTCGCGAACCAAGACCTAGTAGCATCGCTCTATGCCTTTCAACAAATTTTACCACTGGACTGATCGGTTGCTATTGTTAATCCTCACCCGAGAGAAAGGGAGGGTGGAAAAAGAGAAACATCGATGCCAGAGAAACACATTGATTGGTTGCCTCCCACATGCACCCCTACTGGGGCCAGGAATCGAACCTGCAACCCAGGTATGGGAATCGAACCTGCAACCCTTTGGTGCATGGGCTGCTCTAACCACGGAACCACATCTGCCAGCAGGGTACCACTGGGTTGATTTTTATTTTTAAGGGAAGAGAGATTTGGAGGGATGATTTAGGACGTGAGAGTCATAGCAATTTTTAGGGAGGTGAAGGGATGAAAAAGTTCAAAGAATATGGGGTTAAAAAAGAAGTTAGGCAGGTAAAAAGATCTTCAAGGAGATCATAGACTATAGCAGAGGCTGGTGTGTGTGTGTGTGTGTGTGTGTGTGTGTGTGTGAAACAGCTCTTCCCAAGTAAGGGCAGAAAGATAAAAAATTGATTCACTGTATCTGGGGCAAATGACTTTGTCCAAAAGGAAGAACTTCTTGCATAGAAGCACTTCTGTCTTGGAATTCATTGCAGAAGACAATGAACCCAGCGATGAAGGTGCTCCGTCATGGAGGAGAGCTGTTTCTCCCCAGCATGCTTCGTGTCTTTCCAGGAGGCTGGACAAAGACAGACCATGATGTGAGTTTCTAAAGTCCCAGCTAAGTCTTAGGCATCTGAAAACTTGAGATTTCTTCCAAAATTCCGTGGAGAGCTTTTTGTTTTTTTAAATTTGTAATTTAAAGTCTAAAGAAAAATGGCTTCGCCAGTGTAATTCTTTAAGTCCTCCAGGCAGTGTTCAGCTTTCCAAGCCTGGGATTTAGTGGAATGTTCCTATTCCACTTTCAGAATGAAAAAGAAAATGAATAATTCTCAAGAAATGTCACTGAGCTGTTTTTCATCCATATCTTGGACTTAACTTTGCATACTTTATCCCTTTTGGATATTTAGTGGCTAATATGGAATTATGACCTTCTATGATATTATTTATTAGGCAATAAAAATCCCCCCACTAGATTCTGTCATAATCTTGGCAGCTTTTAACCAAAGTACTAATAGCCCAAGAAGAAAGCAGAATAATTTTAGGTTCTGAGAATGAGCTCCTACATTCTGGGAGTCATGAAAATTCAAGGGTTTTAATAATCATCCTAGGTGCCTGCACCTGCCGGGAACCTGACTGGCCTCCGACTGAGTCTGGTTAAGGACAGCGACTTTCCCAGTGGTTACATTCTTGGTGGTGTAGGTGGGCTGAGTCTGTGCCCATGCCCTCCCCCAAACGCGGTCCCCACACTGCATCCTCACCAGAACTTTGTCAGCTGGAATCAGGTCAAAAGGCAGACCCTACTTTGCTCAGGATCCCAGAGAGTGGGATCAGTAAGGTCACTTTATGAGCTCATAAGAAAAGTTGAAAGCCCACGATATTTTGAAATTGCAGTGATTGGTTTTCTGATGAAGAGGAGGTGGCAGCTGTCCCGATGTTTTCTTAAGCCTCTGACAGGTTTCAACATATGGAGGCCGATGACCTGAGAGATTTACCGCCTCTTCCAAAGAGGACTGGTTTACTCCTCTAGTATCAGACTTGGTCATTTATGGCCCTGATGGGTAAACCTTTCCCATCCACACCCCTACTTCAGATGTTCAAGAGCGCAATAAAAGAAGGAATGTTTTTATCTCTGTCTCCTCTTTGTGCAGACAACCAGGAGCAGCTGCCAGAGGTTTTATAGCTCCAAACGTAAATCTGAGCAGATAAGATCGCATGGCTGTGCAATAAGTAAATCATTACCTGGCTTCAGTTCTGGGAACTGCATTTGTCTCCCAAATAGTGAATTATCTTGTTTTAACTAAGCCTGAGAATAACATTCGGTGGACCTGATAGAACTACCTTTTGTTCATACTGTCATAGCCATAGCAAACTCATTTAATTTATTAATTGGAAGCTTATTCCATTGAATGAAAGTAGAGACAACAACTGGTGAACCTTTCTCCTCCTCCTCCTTCATCTTCTCCTCCTCCTCCTGCTCCCCCTTCTTCTTCTTCAGGAAAATATGCAGAAGCCCAGTATCCAATAAGCCAATTCTTGCCATTCTTGGGGGAGAAGGGTGACCAGTGATGAGGCTGGATAAAAATGTTTGCTCACACTCACCAAGTCCCATCCATAACACAAGGGTATACTGAGAACACCCCATCACTTCCCATAGCAGAGACTTCGGGTCCGAAGCATCAGTCCCTTAAACGTGTCCATTCCACTTCTTATCTTACAACGCCCTTAGGTGAGTTGTAACATGTTAACGTGGGAAAAGGTTCTGTGGTTAAATAAGTTTGGGAAATGCTCTAATAAAGCCAAACAGGTTTCTTTAGTGCACAACTTATGAGAGCCTTGAATCTGTACTTGATCTCCAAGGGGGGTGGGGGCAGGGCAGGCAGAATTTCTGGAGCAGAACCAGGCGGACCACATGTGGCTTATCCCAGGACTGCAGAATTGATAAAAAACTGAGTTTCAGCCACAGAGCGTTGCTCACCATGCATTGTGAATAATCCTTGGGTTAGTGATGAGGTTATATGAGAATCAAGCCTGCTGATAACTTCACACTAAAAGGATTTCAAAGGCTTTTATCTAAAAGATAAAAGATGGATTTGAATTTCTACCACGTTAGTTTGGGCCTCTAAAAAATCTCATATTCTGCACTGCATGGTATTCCCAGAGGTTGTGAAACAAAAGTCTTTTACTGTGAGATTCACAGGCATTCAAGCAAAATTAGAACTGAGTAGGAAAGCTTAATCAACTATTGGGAGACACAAAATATAATTTTTGTGAAATGCACACACATCCCCCCCCACACACACATATATATATACACATACATTTCCTAACCTAGCTCTAAAACTTAAAAAAAGGTTCAAAGCGAAATGTAAATTTCCATTTACTCATCAACATTCAGTTTCCAGTAACAGAAACTAGCTAACAAAATATGCACAAAATGATCTGAATTAAAACGAGACATTAAATGTGACCAACTCTCTGGTAAAAGGCCTCCTGGCCACTCAGTTATTCTCGGTGGCTGCCTCTAGTTTTGTTTTTGTTTTACAAACACGTATAATTATGAAAGTGATGCTAGAGACCAAATCGCCAGATGTAAATTTAACGGGAGGAAAATAACTTGAATTATACTATTACCAATTATACTGAAAACTAAAGGCTGGTGGCACGTCGGCCCACTGCCCCCGATTCCCACAGTGCACCAGCCCTTCACATCCTGCCTGTGCACCTGCCAGGCCCTTCTCTACAGGGACCGTTCACCTAAGTGTTCAGATGCTTTTCTCCCTGTCTGATCCCGCAGACTTTCTGTGCGGTTGCAGGTTCTGCTGTGTATAATCTCCTCCGCGATTCAGAGCTTTGTCTAGATTTTCTCATGCATCTCTGTTCTCTTCACGTCTAACTTCCCCTCACCCAGTGTCGATATTCTCCCAAGTCCAGTTCTGAAAGCTCCTCTCACTCAAGTTGCCTCATCCTGCCTCTAATGACATATCTTCAGTCTGACTCTCTCCCGGGCTATAGAACGTGTTTCTAACTAGTTCCTGGAAGTCACCAGCAGCACCTTGTGCCTCGTGCCTCTCAAACCCATCGCACAGCGCCCTCCCCCTCGGATCTGTTTATCTTCCTGCATTTCTACCTCAGGAAGCGACGTCCTGAGAAGTGGCACCTCTACCTCGGAGGAGCAACTTCAGGATCAACTCAAACTTCTCTTGCCAAGCTGGGTGTCTCCAAGTCCTCCGAAATCTCTCCATTACCCATCTAATCTTTTTTGCTCCATTTTCCGTTTCCCCAACACAGGACCTCATTCATTTCCTGTCTTCTTTGTCTCCGATCTCTCTTCTTTCTAGAGCCGGACAACCAACCACCGACAGGTCACTGAAACCAAGGTCAGATCAAGCCACTCACTGCCTATGAAGGCACGAGGAACACCTAAAATCACGAGTGACACCTAACTGTCAAGGAGTCCTGACTGCTTACTGCTCGGTTGATTTGGGGCTACTCCGCTGCTCTCTCTCTCTGTCCTTGTAGCTCTGGGGCAAGAGTATGGGAGAAACTGTGCTTCCCTCCTGGGAGCATCAACTACATTTATAACTCAGAGCTTGGCATCTGACACTCAGCACTTATTACCCAAGAACTGCAATGACTCCTTGACTGAGGCCCCAGACCACCTCATCATGGCCTGCTAGATACCTTGAGACTCCATGACATAACTTTTGACTATTTATCACAACGAAAATGTTCTCCTTTTCTGCCCCTGGAAACCTGATGTCCCTCAAAGCTCAAACCAGATGCGGTGAATTCCATGGAAACCTTTCCTTGATTTCCCTCCCACCCAGGCTCGCCCTGCCTTAGCTTCCTTATTTGTATGTCTGGCTCTCCTTCCAGACCCGCATTTCTCAACATTGGCATGCACACTGGCTTATATTTTTTTTACTGGGGGACTCTTTTGTTTTTTAATTAAACTTCAGATTTTGAGATAGTTGTAGATTCACACATATGTGTGAGAAATAATACAAAGTGATCCCATGTAGCTTTTATTCAGTTTTCCTGGAACGGTAACATATTTCAAAACTATAGTATAATGTCTCACTCAGAACACTGTCGTTGATGCAGTCAAGATACAGAACATTCTATCTCCACAAGGATCCCTCCTGTTGAC